CTACATTGCCTCCTTCGGTCTTTGCAACAGCCCTTTGAAGGAGGTGATCCTGGTTTTATCCTCGTTTTACAGATAAGCAAACCGAGGCTCAGGGTTAAGCAACCTTGAGGCACTCAGAAAATGTAACTGGAAGAGTAGCGATGGAATCCAGACCAGTCCCGCTGCTCCCCTTGGCTGCCTTCTAAGACCTTTTGCCTCGTTGCCAACCCAGCGGAGCTAAAGTCTTTCCCTCCAGGGGTGCATTTCCTCCTGACGCTGCAGGTCCTCCTGGGAACCTGCCCCTTATAGGGGATCCGACCCCCTTGGCCGGCCCTGAAAGCCACCCAGTCTCTGCACTCTGCTCCCTGCTCTTAAAGAGATGGCCGCCAGAGGGCGCTATTGGCCTGTGTTTCTCCAGCTGCCAACTCCACCAGAGGCTGAAAAGCAGGGGAGATGGCACCAATATGGGCTGCAGCCTGCCTGACAGCTGGGCCAGGCTTCCCGGAGGCCCATGCCCTCCTGACCACTGTCCGGGCAGGACGGGAGGCCAGCTGTGCTCACAGAGACATACCTGTAGGCAGTAGGTAGAAATCCTGTGATTTCTTATCCTTATTTTACAGATAAGGAAACGGTGGCACAGGGAGGTTAGGCTAGAAGCCAGCTCAGCCCGCCCCCTGACTCCCCACCCCAGCCGAGCTCCACCCTGCCAGCTCCGGGAACCCTGGAACTCAGAGGTACTGGTGTTTTCTGTGTAGAAAGGAGAAGAACCCCAGAAGCCACGCCCCTGTTAAAGGGGAACGTGGAGATGGCAGGGGAGACCTCCCCTCACCCTCGGCTCCCGAGTTCCCTCACGGGAGCCCACATTCACTGAGCACCTGCTAGTGCCTGGTACTTAGTCCTCAAAGCAACTTTGGGAGGGAGCTGGGCTTCCCCATTTTACAGATGAGGAAACTGAGGTCCAGACAACTGGCTGTTCTCTGAGGCATTCCAGTGCCATATTCGGGAGTAGAGTCGGCATTGAGAATTGACAGCTTTGGCCTCAGAGCCGTGCTGTCTGCTCCCTGCGTGCCTGGTGGGTGGGGCAGCGGTAGCCGGTGCAGACACCGCCTGCCTCCTCTGTCTCTGGTTCTTCGTGCTCCCCCTGCCTGCTTCCCCACACAATCCTGCACCCCTGAAAGTCAAGGCCAGCGGTAGTGGCCCTGGCTGGCCACAGTCTCTAGGTGGGGGCCGGGGCATTCACCCCAGCCTGGGTTCCAGGACCTGGCAGTGCACCGGACTGACTGCTGGGCACCCAGAGAGTGGCAGGCCTCCCCTTTCCCCAGGCATCGCCCCACATGGAGGGAATTGCCCAAAATCAGAGCAAATGGCAGAATGCTGGATGGAGGAGGACAGACCCCTGCCCTGAGCCACCTCCCTGCCAGTCCCTGTCCCCTGGCATCCAGCATCCTCCTCCTCATCCTCACCATCAGCTGCTGCCAGGTCCTGGGCTCTGCACTTCCCACCTCACATCACTTTTCCCCGCAAAATCCATGAGACAGGTTCCGTTTGCAGTTCCATTTAATAGATGAGCCAACGGAGGCCTTTTGAGATAAGAAACACGGCTGCCAAAGAGCAAAGCGGGGGTTGGGGCCCAGCTTTGCCCACCCCAGAGCCCACATTTTGACATTCTAGTGCCTGTCGCAAATGTCCCAATTTGAGGTTCAGAATATATGATCCTTTTCACTCTGGACTGTAGCCGTGGCCCCAGCACACCCTAGGCTGGCTCAGGACCCTCGGCCCAACGTTTTGTGTGTTTTTTCCCTGACGTTGATCAGGGCCCATCATCTCAGACTGAGATTTCTACTTCTGGAAGATTTCAAAACCCAAAAGGACCCCTGTTTAGAGAGACAGTTGCTTTTTCCCAGAGGTCATGGAGCTACTCATGGGGCTCCAGGGCCTGCAACTCCCCAAGCTCCACTGGGGTCAGGACAGGCCGCACTGTCCCCCACCCCAAGAGCTGTGCAGTGAGAGGGACTCGGGAATGGGGGCGTCTGGGGGTGCTTGGGGTGCCGGGGCCTGAAGCCCTGCCCCTGTGGCGAGGGCAGGGAGGGCAGGAGAGGCAGTGTCCCAGCCGCGGGGCTCCGGGGGAAAGAACCAGGGCCCAGGTGTGACAGGAACACACAGGTGAGCATTCCCCCCAAAATGCTTCTAAGGAAGGACACCCCAGCAGCAGGCAAGCGTGGAACAGGAGGGGGGAAAGGTGCTGACCCAGAACAGCCGTGAACTTGTCATGTGACTCGAGGCCCCTCTGACCGTCAGCTTCAGATGGCAGGGTCTGGCTGTCCAGTCGGTGTCTGCACTGCGTGTCCCGCCCCACTGGCCTTCGCTGCCACCCCACCTGCCACCCCTCCCTGCCTGCAGGCTGCTGGGAGGGAACAGTAAGCATCAAAAACCCGGGTGATCACACCTATGGAACGTGCCCTGGCTATGCCACAATCTCCATGGTTACCGAGCGCCTCCGGGCTCCGTGGGAAATGATTCACACGGTGACATGGTTCCTCCGTGGGTGCTCACAGCCACCACGGGAGCGAAGTGGCACCCTTCCCATTTCCACCTGAGAGCACAAGCCAATAATGTGACGTCACGTGTCAAGGTTTGCACAGCTGCTCCGCAGCAAAGCTGGGGTTTGAACCCAGGTCCCCCGACTTCAGAAGCCCTGTGCCCTCTGTCTTTACCACATTGCCTCTTGCTGGCCTTTTACCCCGAACCCCCAAAGCAAGTGACCCGTGTTTGTGTAACCACTTAAGTCAGAAATTACAGAAAAAGAACAATAACTGAAATCACACCCAATTTCCCATGCAGAAGTCATAATTGACAGTTTGGTACTTTTATTTATATATTTCATACACATGAATGAATATACACTTTTTCCCACCTCCTGCCACTTACGGTATCTCAATAGTATCCCAATGTTATTAGAACATACACACCTCTCCACAATATGCTACGATCGCTTTCATCGTTTGGATGGTGAGAAATTCATTTGACCGGCCCCCTATTGCTGGACATTCGGGTCAGTGACAGTTTGTATGGCTCTGGCCATAGGTAGCGTTGGGGTGGGCAGCCCTGGAGCTATGCCTGCTCTGGCCGACTGGGGATGGCTGATCACAAGTGGAGGGGGAGGCTGTGGTCTGCACTGGTGGGTCCCACGGGGACTGTTCTTTAAAAAGACAGCAGCCAGGCCTTGTGGAGACCCTCGATCCAAGAGTGTGGCCTCTTTGCTTTCTACTCTTTGGAACGAACGTGCAATCAGGCCCCTTCCGAGCCACCCTTCACACACTGGCTGTTCCGTGGTGGGGACAGGTGGTTCCTCAGGGCCTGGGAGGACCCCTCCCACCCCGTCCCCCCGTCATCCTCTGGGGGCCAAGATGCGGCCAACGAGATCCATCCATGACATTCCACTTTCCACGTGTCCCCACACAGGAGAGGGGAGCAGAGGGACCGGCAGGGAGGATCCCGGAAGCACTTCCTGCTGGGGGAGTAGGTGGGCTCCTCCTTTGGTCTCAAAGGCCTCTGGGGCCTGGAGGAGGGGAGAGGGAGCTGCATGTGAGGGGGAAGCAGAGGCGTGAGCGCAGGAGGGAGGTGGTGACCAGAGGCTGGCTGGAACTTTTCCATCTGCTGACCCGACCTGAGGGAAGTCTGTTCAGGGGAACACCGCCCACTCACCAAGCTGGGGCTGCCCTGGGGTGAGGGGGGTGGAACAAGCCAAGCCCCAGCTGCAGATGGAGGCTGGAGCCCCCAGAGGGAGGGCCTGGCGGTAACGCCTGGAGAGGGGGGATGGCGGGGGGAGGCGCTGGAGTCCTGTGCCTGGAGCCTGAGGCAGAGATGGGCTGGGCGGGCTGAGGGGTGGAGGGCTCTCCCCAGGCCCAGCTCCCTCCCCCTCCTTGGCCTCTGCAAGCTGAAACATGAAAGGACTTTGATCAGATAAGGGGCTGCCAGCCTGCCTGGTCCCTGCAGCCAGAAAGGAGCTGGGACAGTGCAGTCCACGCTCATTTGTCCCTCAGTCCAGCTCACATGCTCTTCCTCTTGTCATGTTATGAGCCCAGCTGCTCCTGCAGAATAATTCCGACCTGTCTGCAGCCCATTCTCTGCCTGCTGCTGTGTGCGTGCGTGCGTGTCCGTGTATATGTGTGTGTGCATCTGTGTGTAAGAATGCGTGCATGTGTATAGATGCAGTGTGCATGTGTGTGTGCATCTACATGTGTGAATGCATGCATGTGCGTGTGATGGAAGGTCACCTATACACCGGCCCTTTCCCCTCCGCTCTCCTGATTCCCAGAACCAGGTTCCTTCCTGGAAACTCCACCAAGTATGTCTTCACTTCAAGACCCAAAATGTGGCTTCTGATGCCGTGTCTCACCCGGTGTGGGAGGGGCAGAGAATGAGGGGTCAGTGGGAAAGCCAGGACAGCTTGATGGTGGAAGAAACGCAGAGGAAATGTGAGAGAGAGAGAAAGAGAGAGAGAGAGAGAGAGAGAGAGAGAGAGAGAGAGAGAGAGAGAGAGAGAGAGAGAAGGGGTGCCCAGATAGAAGTTAGAGACAGATGAGGAGAGAGAGCAGGAGGAGGGAGATGCAGGGCCCAGGAGGACAGGGATGGGGTGGGGTGGGGGGGCAGGGGAGAAAGACATCACGAGAGGCAGAGAAGGGAAGGAAGAAGGAAAAACATGCACAGAGGATGGCAGGAGAGAGAGGAGAAAGGCGTGAAGGGGAGAGGAATATGAGAAGGAGAGAAGAGGAAAGAGAAAAATGAGACGGAAGGAAGGAGGGAAAGGGGGCAAATAGGCTGAGAAAGGAGAGCGGTGGGGACAGAGGGAACCTCTGCTGCGATGCAGGTCTGGGCAGGTCCTTAGCGGACGGAGGTGGCTGTGGGCAGGGTGGCCCCTGGGCCAAGGGGCGGGTCTGCGCAGGTGGCCGCCCCTGGGTGGGGCGGCGGCCCAGCCCTCGGGGTATAAGTGGGAGCCGGGCGAGGCACCTGCAGGGACAGCTCCCTGTGCAGGTGGCAGCAGGTGCTCCGGAGCCCGGCCCCAGCATGAGCTCCTTCGACCTCCCGGTGCCCTCGCCCCCGCACTGCAGCCCCCAGTTCCCCAGCATCGGCCAGGAGCCCCCCGAGGTCAACCTGTACTACGAGAACTTCTTCCACCCGCAGGGCCTGCCCAGCCCGCAGCGGCCCCCCTCCTTTGAGGCGGGCGGCGAGTACGGGGCCACCCCCAACCCCTACCTCTGGCTCAACGGGCAGGCCATGACCCCGCAGCCCTACCTGCCGGGCCCCAATGCCAGCCCCTTCCTGCCCCAGGCCTACGGGGTACAGCGGCAGCTGCTGCCGGGCGTGTCCGGCATGGGGGGCGGCGACCTGGGCTGGCTGCCCATCCCGTCGCAGGAGGAGCTGATGAAGCTGGTGCGGCCCCCCTACTCCTACTCGGCCCTCATCGCCATGGCCATCCACGGGGCGCCCGACAAGCGCCTCACCCTCAGCCAGATCTACCAGTACGTGGCCGACCACTTCCCCTTCTACAACAAGAGCAAGGCCGGCTGGCAGAACTCCATCCGCCACAACCTGTCGCTCAACGACTGCTTCAAGAAGGTGCCCCGCGACGAGGACGACCCAGGTAAGGGGGAGGCGTGGTGGCCGCTGCATCCGCAGCCCCTGGTGCCCAGGGAAGGCTCGCTGCCTTCCTCACATCCCCTTCTGGAAAGTTCTAAATCTGACCGTGCCCCCCAGAACTGGGGGTGCTGAGGGGAGTCAGCAGTGAAGGAGACCCGGGGCCCTGGAGGCAGATTGGGGTTTCCATCCTGGCTGGGCCACTGCCCAGTCCATGACCTCGGGCTGGTTCGATCCCCGAGCCTCAGTTTCCCCACCTGAAAGCAGGGATGGTAACCGTGCCTCCTGCGAAGGCTTGTGGCGGGGCATGGGGTCATGCACGCCAGGCTGTGGTGCCCGGGGGTGCCCTGCGGTCTGCAGCGGTGGCTGATGGGCCTGGACCCCCGGCAGCAGCTCCTCACGAGTCCTTGGGGGTGAGAGACTGACATGGAAACCCAGGGGGTCCCGGGGCTGCTGGGAAGAGACGGGGCGTTTGTTGAACAGCCACCAAGGGCTGCATTCTGCTGCCGCCCTGGTTGCATCACCTCCTTCATCCACCGCTGCGGGGCGGCTTTTGGGAAACCCATTCTACAGATAAGGCAAGTAGCAGGCTGGAGACACCTGCCCGCTCGGCAGCATGGAGGAATTGGCTGGAATGCGACCTGAACGCAGGCCTCTGACACCAGACTGCGGACCTGTCCTTTCAATGGTGAATTTCTCCAACGCGGAGATGTAGGGAGCGTAGAGTACTGAATACTCAAGTCTCCACGCCCAGAATGAAAGTCCGCTCTGGCCCCATCGCAGGAAGCCAGGAGACAGTGCGTGGGGAGGGGGGACCAGCTCCACCACCTGGAGGCTAGCAAGGGGGCCAGTGTGTGTCCCTTCAATAGCCGGCCGTAGCCTCGGGCCCAGAGACAGACAGGCAGGCAGAGTTCAGACCTAACCTGGGGCCCTCGGACTTCCCAGTCACACACCTAGCACCTTCCTTTCCACTCAGCCTGAGGATGAAGGGCAGGTACAACGGGCCCACTTCTCAGACTAGGAAACTGAGGCTCGCCCAGAGCCCCTCAGTCAGGGAGGAGCAAAGTGGAGGCTCAAGTCCATCTTTGGAGTCCATGCCCGGGACCTTGGGGGAGCCCTGCCTTTTTTCCCAAGTATTCTCCCTCACCCCACCCTCCCCCCCGCTCCCAGGCCCCACCTCCAGTACTTGAACCTCTGACTCTGCTGTGAACAAGGTCACAGCCCCTGCCTGTCTGTCTTTGAGCTCTGAGCAGCGAGGGGTTGGAACCCTTCTCCCTTCTCAGTCTCTGACTTCTGTTCTCTGTCTTTCCGGGTTGTTCCCTGTGTTTTGACTTGACAGTGGGAGGAATCAGAGCAAAGCACGGTGTCCGTCTCTCCACTCACCTCCCCCTCTTTCCTTCGCACAGGCAAAGGGAACTACTGGACCCTGGACCCCAACTGTGAGAAGATGTTTGACAACGGAAACTTCCGCAGGAAGAGGAAGAGAAAGTCCGACGTCTCGTCGGGCCCCGGGGAGAAGACGGAGAGCGGGCTCCTGGCGGGCAGCCCCAAGAGCGCAGACGCCCAGGACGTCTTGGAAGGCACCTCCCCGGGCTCCGCCGGCTCCCCCGAGCAGCGACCGTCCCCGGGGCCCCCGGGCACCCCATGCCTCAACGGCTTCCTCTCCTCCATGACGTCCTACGTGAGCGGGGCCAGCCCCGCCAGCCGCCCTGTGGCCACGCCGGGACTGAGTCCCGAGCCCACTGACAAGATGGGGCAGAACTTGGGGAACTTCAACTCCTACACCCCACTCACCAGCCTCGGCGGCCACGGGGCCGGGGGAGAATGGGCCAACCCCATGCCCACCAACGCTCTGGGCTACGGAGGCGCTGTCCTCAACCAGTTCAGCCCCCACTTCTACAACAGCATCAACACGAACAGCGTCCTCTACCCCCGGGAGGGCACCGAGGTCTAGGACTGCACAGTCCCTGAGCCACATGGACGTGCCCGAGGTCCCCCGGCTGCCCAGACACCTCCGAGCTCCCAGACAGACACAGGAGGCTCAGAGCAATTCCTCCTGTTTCCGGAACCCGGTGTCAACCTTCTGTGTCACCCATACCTGGACACACACCCACAACTTGGCACTGGACATGCTGGTGCCTGAGTGACAGTCACCAAGGCGGCCGGCCCTTTGTTGAGCACTTACTATGTGCCTGGAGCCGTACTAGGCTCGGAAGGCCTAGCCACGCTTACTATCTAGCTACCTTGTGGGGGTCCTATGAAGGTCCTCATTTTACAGATGAGAAAACTGGGTCATACAAACTGGTGCGTGGCAGAGCCAAGAGTCAGGTCCTGGGGGACTCCCACTTTGGGGGCCAGTGGAGGGAGGGGTGGAGGGATTGACTGAGCAGCGAAGGAAGGTCCGGGAAAGCTGGTTGTGATGAGCTCACCCACTGCCTCTGGCCTTCCATCAGAACTTAGCACCAGCCCCGGGCACACGCCATCCTGGTCCAAGTCGTGCTGTGGCCCCAGCTTCCCTGCAGCACTCCTTCCGCCGCCACTGGAGGCGGGCAGCCCAGGCCATGCCCCCTCAGAGGGGCACCATTTTCCCAGACCCGGAGACCTCCCGCAGGGCAGGGACAGGAGTGGTGCACCCCAAGCCCCCCACCCGGTGCTTCCCCACCCGCAAAGACCAGCTCCTTGTGTGCACGTCATGGACCGGTGAGCGGGCGGCGGCTGAGCCTTCCAAGAGAAACAGGCCGGAGACCCGCTTCCCTTTCACAGCCCGAGAAGTGAGTGTCAGAACAGGCCTCACGGAGGGCCTGCTCCCGCCAGGGTCCAGGAGCAGCTCCTGGGACTGCTCTTGCTTCCGTATGTACTTTACACGCTTCTGTATGTACTTTACACGCTTCCATATGTACTTTACACACCTGCGATCCTTCCTCACAGCACACCCTGGGAAGTGTTTTTTTGTTTTCTTTTTTTCTTTTTGATTAAAACAAACCAACAGAAAACTGTGTGTGTCCCTTCCTTGTGAGTTTCCCTGTCCCTGGACCGCGGGTCGACTCAACTGGGGGCCAAGGACAGGCTGCAGCTGCGGCTTCAGGGACCGCAGGCAAGGCAGAATGTGTGCAAGCTCCCTCCCTCCCACACTGGTGTGCAGACAGGACAAAGGCCCCAAGGGAAAGAGGGGGGCTTGCAGGGATGGGGTAGGCGCGTGGAAGGAGCCCATCTATTGGACACAAACTACGGGCTGGGCATTGCCCAGTCTTGACAGCTCACATGGTCCTCATAACTGCGCTTGGGTCATTTAACCCTCCTCAACCCCTTGAAGGGTGGGCCTGCCCATTAACAGACGGGAAGACTGAGGGTCAGGGAGGTTGAGCAACTTGCCTGAAGTCCCCAGACTGTTTTCACCCGGGTCTTCTGACGCCTGCACCGCATCACACCGCAGTGCAGCCTCTGACGTGGCTAATGCTGCTGGTGGGCACAGCAGTACGTGGTCTCCAGGTCACCGAGGGCTGTGGGCAGGCGCTGGGCCGAGTGCCAGGCAGAGGGAGCGCTTTTGTCCTCACAAGAGCACACGAGTGTGTGCACGGGCGATTCGCAGGGGTGCCTGGCGCAGTGCATGCTGGGAGTCAAGCGCGGAAACTGGAGGTCTTCTAGTTAGAGTCCCCTCCTCGGATATGCACACAGAGGGCTCAAGCCAGGGCCCCCCGGCCTCCTGCACAGGCTGTGCACAGGCTGCGCACGCTGCCCCCTCATGCCCTGCAGGGCTCTCTCCCGGAAGTAGCAGAGGGGCGGTGATGACAATGACGTTAATGATGAGGACAGCAGCACTCACTGCGGGTTCACCGTGTGCCAGGCATGTGTTAGGACTTGACCTGCCCGGTGGCATCTAATCCTCAAAACCATCCAACGCGATCAATACTGTTGTGTCCATTTTAGAGGAGAGAGAACTGAGGCCCGGAGAGAGATTCTGTAACTTGATGAAGGGACACAGCCAGGATTCAAACGCAGATTCGTGGATGCCAAGGCCGAAACTCTCATCCGCTGCACCGAGCACTGAGGAGAGCAGGACTGACCACCGGAGACCAAATCAGGGAACCTGGGAAGAGGAAACGAGGGGCCCCCTGGAACCGCCTCCGCTTCTTTCCTGGGGAGTCCCTTGCCCCACGGAGCCTGATTCTCCAGGCCATGGAGGTGGGTGTGGGTGGGGTGGCTGAGGGAGGGAAGGGCGGAGGAGGGCCACAGTGTCAGACTGTGAGGCCTTAGAAAACTTGGGATAGGCTGATGCCTTGCTGCACAGAAGGGAAGCCTGAGTCTGGGGGAGGAAGCGACCCCATCAATGTCACCAGGGAGATGAGGTCATAGGCAGAGTTCAATCGCAGGTCCCTGAAGCCAGGCCAGGATTTTTATCACACTTGATCCCATTGCTACCACATGTGCCCGAATGGACTCTGCAATCCCACCGTCTCCCCTGATAATGTCACTGCCTGCTCCTGACGCCCCTCCTTTGTCACGGGAGGCCTGGTAGGTGCGGGCTGGGCAGGGCCTGGGTGTGAGGGTCCCGAAGAGAGACCAGCCTCCTGGGAGGAGGTGGCCATTCAGAACCAAGGCCCACTACACTCCAGCCTCCATTCTTCTTCAGCCCAGAATGCCATGGGCATAGCCGTGAAAGGATGTCTGCTCTCTGACAACACAGAGACCCTGCCAACTCCTGTCGGTGATGCTCGGGCAGTTCCTGGTAGCAGCGCCAGGAGCTCCCGGAAAGGGCGGTGCGAGAGGCGCCTAGTCACGCTGCTGGAGCGCGGGGCCCAGCTTGAGAAGGGGGTCTCCCTGGTCAGCTTCCGCGGCTGGCTCTGGCCCCCCTTGTGGCTTCTCTTCCTCTGAGAAACAATGAGAGAGGGGGATGGAGAAAGGGCATGGAGGCGAGAGGTCTGGGTACCCGCCCCCTGAGAGGCCAGTTCCGTGTGCTGTGCTGGGGGTGGACACTGCATTTGTTAGCTCCTGCAGTTTGGCGTTGCATTGAAGACATGGTCCCCAACACCAGTAAAAGGTCTAAGGAGAGGGCTACCTGTGTGCTGGGAGCCCAGGGAGGCTGCCTGGAGGAGGTGAGGCTGGAGCCAAAGGACAGTAGAAGTCAACCAGTGCACAGAGGTCTCCAAACCACTGGTTACACACTCATCCTCAAACCACCTACCTTCAAGCCTGCAGCCCTGGATCACAAGTCCAAGTTCTATGGGGAGGGGGCAGGGGAGTGTGCCTCAAAGCACAACATGCATGTAAAATACAGGACATTCTTAAGAGAAAAGGGCAGCAGGACTTGGTGACTGGAGCTGCCGGTGGTGGCGGTGGGGGTGGTGGTGGGGGAGCAGTAGGAGTCAAGGACTCCCCAAACTCCTGGCCCAGGAGGCCAGGCGTCCCCCAGCCTCTCCTCCCGAGGGCTTCATTTCTGTTAGCGTGGAAAGGATATTGTAAAGGCCAATTACACAGCCAGAGAGGAAATCCAAAGGCAGGCAGGGGATAATAGAAAAGCTGTGGGCTGACGAGTGATTCATTATTGTTCTTTAAGGCAAGGAGAAGAAGAAATCATTGATCCTGGATGAAGAAATTGGGCTTGGCCGAGCCCGGGCTGTGGGAGATGAGCTGGCTCCAGAATCCCCTGGGGACATGTGGTTGAGGAGTGAAGGGGAAGGAAGGGGGGATGGGCAACAAATACTTAGAGACATTTTGTCCGAGACTGGGGATGGGAAGACCTACAGGACTGGGTTTCACTGCTTGGGAGGGGGGAGGCATCGGCAGCACTCAGCGCTGTCCCCGCAGACGTGCCTCAGTGCCAGGCTTCATCTGCAGGGAACTCCGCCTGAGCCCATCTTCTGCAGGTGAGGAAACTCGGACTGTGAGAGAGAGAGCAACTGAAGGAGGTCGCACAGGCAGGAAGTGGTGGAGCGCCACTACTTAAGCTAAACCTCGGCTCAAGGTTCCTGACTCCCAGGGGAATTCTGTCCCCTTGAAGCACCTTAGTCCTGGGGGGTGTGATTTATGCCAAATAGGACCTCCCAGTGATCTAGCCACTAGTACAATGTTTGATAAATGTATATAAAAGATCCTAAGCGTCTGCTCAACCGTTCTACCAGTAGCTATAACGCACTCTGACCACCAAGGGGCAGACACTCAATGCACAGGCATGGAAACATGGAACAGACTGATGAATCTCAGAGGGAAGGGGGGAGAGGGGAGGGCGAGAAGAGATTAAGCAAAGATCTGATATGCATACTAGAGGCCCGGTGCACAGAATTGTGCACCTGTGGGGTCCCTTAGCCTGGCCTGCAGGGATTGGGCTGAATCCATGTACCGGGCCTCCAACATCCCCCGAGGGGTCCCGGATTGCGAGAGGGTGCTGGCCAGGCCAAGGAACCCCACCGGTGCACAAATCCATGCACTGGGCCTCTAGTATTTATATAATTTTCCATTGGTTTGGTATCAGCTGATCCATCAAGCAACCAGGATTGATTAAGTTTGTCTGATGGGGAGTTAGATCAGAGTACAGGAAAATCGATGAGCCCTGATGCATCACTAGGGAAGCACATTGAGGGGGACACTGTACATGCCAGGAGGGAAGGAGAGAGAGAGAGAGAGAGAGAGAAACATCAATTGTCTGCCTCCCATATGCATCTTGACTGGGGATCAAACCTGCAACCTAGGTATGTGCCTTGACCAGAAATTGAACCCCAAACCCTTTGATACACAGGATGATGTTCCAACCAACTGAGCCATCCGGCCAGGACCCCCAAAGTCTTGATAAAAACCTAGGGGTTTCCGAAGGACAGAGCAGCTGCCTGAAGGACAAGCCCCGGGCGGCTGAGGCCAAGGCGGCGGGCGGGCTGGGGTGCAGAGCAGCACACGGGGCTGCAGCTTGGAAATGGCCTTATCTCTGCTGCTCAGGTGAAGTGTGCCACCTGTTTATGAGTAAACTAATGGCCTAATCTCAGCTGGAGGCAGGGTAATGGGGCGGGGCAGGCTGGAGAGCACCCAGGCCGCGCTGGCCAAGGTTTAACCCTTTCTCAGCAGCAGCGGGTGACTATGTAAGCGCCCCTCCAATGGGAGGGCCAGATCTACCCAAACCCTGCTTTTGGCTGGTTCCCTTCGGCCCCACTGTGGTCCCACCAATGTGAAGTTGGCTTTGAAACTTTTAATAACCTTGGAACAGCTGAGCAAAGCACTGAGTCATTACCTACCCAGCAAACAGCCACTACGCCTACTGTGTGCTGGGCGCTGTTGGGGCTGGGGTTAGGATGTGGTCCTATCTTTTGGGGGCGGGGTTACCATTCCGCCCTCTACAACCACAGAATCTTCCTCAGCGTAGCGTCCAAATGAATTGACCCCTGCAAGCAGAGGCTGGCCCATGAAAGAAACCTAACCTCTGGTGTGAATCAAAGCCCGTGATTGGATCTACAAACGTTCACGGAGCACTGGTCATGTAAGAGCCAGGGTGCCCTCCCTGTGCACGGGGCCCTGGTGAACACTGAGAGGTGACCCGGCAGGAAGGGCCTCAACGGTGCCTGGCACGTGATGGCATCATTTAGGGCTCGTTAGCTCTTCCAGGTGCATTGCTGGGTCCTGTAAGACCGAGCCCCTGCCCTAAAGGATAAACTAGCAAAAGCGCCGGTAAGCATGGAACCTCAGACATCCTAAAGGGAGGCAGCCTCCGGGGAGTTACAGTCCTCCCACATGCAATCCCATGTGTAACATCTGCCTTCCCCAATCCTCTGATTTATCCAACACTTACGTTTTAGCCGCTACTCCAGGTCCTTCTGTGCCAGGCTAAGGGGATAAAAATGGCTGATGAGCCTCATTTAATTGACATGCGATTGCCTATCCCCATTTCACAGATGGAAAGAGCAAGACCAAACATCTAAGCCTGCACCTGACCGGTGTGGGTTTCTGTGGATGGGGAGAACCTGGCATCTGCCGACAGCCAGCTTGCTGAGGTTGTCCC